CTTCCTATTACCCCACAAATACAATCCCTTACTATGGTCTAAAAGGCCCTATATGATCTGGTTCCTGTCTACCTCTCTGTCCTCACACAATTCCCCTCTTATGCATTACACTCTTGTCACACAGCCCTTCTTGCTGTTCCTCCCTTCCCAGCTTCAGGCCTTGGCGCTGGCCGTCTGTCTGATTGATTGGCTCAGACAACTCCGCTCCCTCATCATAGCAGCTTTTGCTCCTCAACATTCAGCTCTCAGCTTCAGCAGCACTTCCTCAGAGAGCCCTCGGTCACCCACCAATCTAAAGGAATTCCCTCCTGGTCCCACTTCCTATCACACTGCCCTGTTTTATCTCCTGTGTGACTTAGGGCTTTCTCCCATCTGCTGCAAGCTGCCTTCCCCCATCTCCCTCGTCCCTCCTAATAAAGGAGCTCTCACATTCCTACATGACCCTGCCACTGTGGCCACACTTAGTTGGCCCAGGATGGGCCCAACCCAGCTGCACTAGAGCCCTTCCTGGGATTTTTGTAACTGGAATAGACAAACAGATTCAATTCTTCACGAATGACGACGCTATCTAATGTAAAATTCAGCGACTGTGAGTGGTCATGTTTCCAGCTGTGTGGAGGAAATGAGTCAACAAAAGTGAATGATACTCATATGATGAAGGGAAGAAAAGTAAGATATTTTTGAAAGTGTTTTTTGGTTCTGGTTGTTTCTAAGGTCTAAATTATATTCTGGATACTTACAGAATTAGTTGGGAAAATTTTTGCATCGATATATTCTTTGAAAAACTAAAGAAATCTAGAGCATTGATTAATCTAACTTGCTCTTTGTGTCTAACACCGTGCTCATGTGTAGATGCTTAGTATGTGCTTTTTGATGGCAAAGATGATGAACATGCCAGCTGCAGAATGGGAGGTTAGATATTTTCCATTGAGAGTATACTTTGAGACTGAGTGAGAAAACAGAATACAGAAAGACTATAAAGACTGGAAGTGATCAACTATGAGAAGACCCACTTGGGCTTTTATGTTAATATATCATGAAGCACTATGTCCTTTTGGAACTGCAAAAAGTATATGTTCAGAGGCAAGACTAAGGCAAGATGCTAAAGGTTTTAAAATGACTGCCCCCTATCTCTATTAAGGTCCATTTCAACCTTTATAGAAATCAATCCAATTAAACACATTCTAATGAAATATAGTTATGAAAACTATGTTTGTGGCACTGTAGGGGATACAGAGATGATTAAGGCAGAGACTCAGTCATTAAATTTATTAAGGGGCAGATTTTTTTAAGTATATAAAATAAATGATTAAAATACAAGGGCGTGGTGATGCTTCTAAGTGAGTTGCAAATAAAATGCAATGATGCCAGGACTAGGGTAGAGTAAAGAAAGGTCGTATCCACTTGGAAGAATTAGGAGAGGCTTCATAACCAAGTTAGGCATTTGAGCTGTACCTTGGAGGATGGGCAGGACTGCAAGGTCAGAGGCGGTATGAGGAAGCATCTCAGCCCTCGCGAATAGGACAGACAAAGGCATATTTGGCATGAGCATAAAAAATGATGTGCAGTTAATGAAGGCCTGAGTGAGTGGGGTTGGCAGTAAAACAACCAAATGACTGTCTGCTGGCATCACTAACCATGGGAATCGGGAGGTTCAGGGGACAGGATGGTGTGTTTAGTTTCAGAAATTTTGTTTGAGATGATAGCAGAATATTCCCTTAGGTGGTACAGAAGGTAGTTGAAATGCAGGACTGGTGTTTGGGAGGCATGTTAACACTGGAGATGTTAAATTTAGAATGTCAGTAAAACCACATTTTATGCAAAGAAGTATAAGCATTATTTGGGACCTGGACCAATGAGGGTCACAGACTGTACAATATCACTGGAGGTCTTCATGGAGCAAAGAGACTTGGGATATCGGTATGACCTGGGGTTGAATATCACACTGAAATGACAGCTCTGTGTCCCTGATATGTTCAATTCATTGAAATAATAATTAAGTCCAAACCTCCATCCCTTGAACTACACGAAGTCCATTCTAAACATGGGTTCCACTCCTCAAGCTTTTGGAATAGTATATGTGCCACAAGCCCTTCCTAGCTCACTGCTCTGGCTCTGGAGGCCACTGCTTATTTGGCATAATTGAGTCTCTAGCTGCAGCTTTCCCTTTTCCTCCAAGCATGGACACAGGCTCCACAGCTAAGACCAGGCTGATAGCCTGGGGATAGTGGCAGGGAATTAGCACACACACATACAGACAAACACACACACACACACACACACACACACACACCACTTAAAACTGGATATTAGACGTTACTGCTCCTAAGGCATTAGCCATGCTCCCCTATGAGGGGCCCCTAGTGGTTATCTCTTCCTCAGCTACCCATCCTGATACCATGTTACAAGGCCAGCTTACTTCCTACCACCATATCCCTCCAACCTGGAGTCTAGATCTCTAACTCTCACCCTAGCTTCGGAGAGAATAGCAGGCCTTGTTCTTCCCTGGTCCCAGGCCAGCTTCCCTTCCTCCTCCAGGATTACTGACAGTCAAGATACTCGGTTCTTTCAGGGAGAATTCTTACCTTCATCCACAGAGCAGAGCCAGCCAAAACAGTACTCAAAAGTACTTTTTTAAAAGTCCAAGATTCCAGAACAGCATTTGTAGGTGGTACAGGACGTGGGAGAAGGGGCACGACCGATGGGGCAGGACCAAGCCGAGCCCCATGCCTCTTCACAACTTTTTCTCCAGGGTGGTGGTTTGATTTCTCAAAATCTATGAGTAAATATGTGGACAAAAAGATATATGCCTCAAAAAACATAAAATATTAATACATATTTTTAGGAAGACTCTATTCTAAATACATATTTAGAAAAATCGCACTTCTTTATGAAAAGAAGTAATTCTGCTAGAGAGTCATCCAATTTACATCACTGAACACAAACAAATATCCCATTAACAAAAGCTTACATTTTGCACTTACTCTAAGCTAGGGTGTTTTCTATTTCCATTTTGCAAAGAAAAAACCGGAGGCTTCAAGGACACATTGCTATAAGTGGCAAAGCAAGATTCAAACCCAGGCCCATCTAACCAGAGTCAGTATACTTAAATGCTAAATAATGTTTAGTATTTTAGGTAAAAAAAATTTAATTTAAACCAGTGGTGAAGTCACTAATTTTCTCCAAGGAAATTTATATAAGAGAAAGCCCTTTTGAGGATTTTTCACGAAATGGTATCATTATTATCATAATCTGTACATGGATATTTTTGACATAAACATGTTTATTCATTCATTAATTTAACAATTGTTTACTATGCATCATAATCAACACATAACTTTAGATGTTATAGAAGATGCAAATATGACTCCCTATAGGATTTTATAATCTAGCAAGCTAGAAGAAATAAAAACAAAACAGAATTTGATGAGTACCACAGGAAAGTTGGGAAAAAAAGTGTTATGTGGGTTTAAAAGTGGGAAAGATCATATCCCCTTTGGGGAGTGTGGAGCTTTAGTGGTAATGATAACAATTGGGAACCCAAAATTAAAAACAGATGTGCAAAGAAGAGGGCTGAGACAAAATGAGGCATTATTGTTAAGGTACCAGGACTCCTCCAGCAGTTATCTTGCCCACCTTAAAGTTATTAACAAACTAGCTGCCATAGATTTAGATCCGTACTATAACCATAGCTAAAACTTGTTGTTCTTACGGGCAGTAGTGCAGAAGGCTGTACTGTACTCAATGTTCCCTCTAAATGGATGAGAAGCATTTGGATGGTCCCCTATTCCTGTCACAAGAGTAACGATTGTATAGAAATAGCATGGACACTCGTCATTGATTCACTTTTACTGATGTCTATAATGTGCGTCAGTATGTTGATATCATGCAGCCCTTATCAGATTGAGAACGCCAAGAGAACCCCATCTGCTGGATCACAAGCTGTTTACAAGTCTCATACAGGCTTTTTTCAATGACAGTGCCCTTTAAAACCTGGAGTTGGAAAGTGGCACAAAAGGTGATTCTAATTCTAATTACAAACTATCCTCCCACACACGTTAATTTACTTGGTCAAGTTTATGGCGCAAATCGGAGTCTTGCTACATTGCTGTTTTTTAAAAAAATTACCCTAAGTGCTTGAAACGAGTCTCACCTGGGACTACTAATCCCATCATGCATCGGTCCCACATTCCCACCGTGTGGGGTGGAGCCGCAGAAGGGGCGGCACCGCGGCGCGGCGGCCGAAGCATTCTGGGCATTGTAGTCTGGGGCCCAGCCACCGCCGGGGCTGGTCCACGTGGTGCACTTGGCGGCAGCTTTGGGCAGTGGCTCCGCGGCTCTCTCCACACGGTCCCCGGGGTGCGGGCGCCAGCAGGGGCGGCCAGCCGCCGCGGGAGCGGGCCGGAGGGTGGGCCCGAGGCAGCAGGAGGCTTCGCGACGTTTTTGCGACAGCCACGGCCGTGTTCCGCGAGTGCCCTCCTCCTCGCTCTGAGGAGGTACCGGCTGTTGTGCGGCGCTGCCTTTCTGTTTGAGTGTATGGGAGAGTGAGTGAGTGAGTGAGTGTGAGCGTGCGTGTGAGAGAGGGTGAGGCGTGAGTGCGCGTGTGAGACGAGTAGAGCCCGCCGTGGCCGCCCCGCTGCTCCCCCTGCAGCGGGAGCAGAACGCGCGGCCGGAGAGCCGGAGAGCCGGCGCCCAGGGAGCCCGCGGGGACAAGGGCAGAGACACCCGCTCCCCACCCCCAGCCCTCGTCCCTCGGCTCTCCTTCGCCCGGGGGAACCTCCCTGTTCCCCCGGCCGGCCTCTGCCCCGCCGCCCCCCTGGATGTCCCCGGCGCTCTCGCGGGGCCTCCTCCTGCTCTTGCCGCATCAGTCGGGCTGGTGCTGCGGTCGGCGGGCATAGAGCGGGCGGGTTCCCGGGGGCTGCGGCTGCCCGTGCTTCCCCGGTCCCCACCCCTGTCCCCCGGCCCCCCGACCCAGCTCCCCGGCCTCGGAGGCTGTGACAATGGACTATGACTTTAAAGTGAAGCTGAGCAGCGAGCGGGAGCGGGTCGAGGACCTGTTTGAATACGAGGGCTGCAAAGTTGGCCGAGGCACTTATGGTCACGTCTACAAAGCCAAGAGGAAAGATGGGTGAGTGTTTGTGTCTGTGCCGGTGTCCACGCTGGGCGGCGCTCCCGCAGGCCGAGGCAGGTAGCCCGGAGGGAGAGCGGGCCGCCGGGGTGCCGGGCTCTGACTTCCTCGAAGCCCGCATCTGTCCCCGCCAGCCTGGTTTGGGGAGGAAGTGGTGTACGAGGGAGTCAAACCCGCAAGAAATACTGCGTGTCGCATCTGTGTTGTACGGGGGTGGTAAGAGGGAGAAGGAGCCTCTACCCCCATGGGCTGTATACTTTTCGAGGATTTTAGTACTGGATTAAAAAAAAAATCATTATAAAACTCTAGTTTAAGTGATTTTTTTTTTCCTTTGCTAGATTTATTATGGTAACTTTCTGGGGATTTCCTCACCGCCTCAGGAGTGTCATCCTTCAGTCTGGAAGGGAAGCTGTGATCCTTTCCCCCACCAGTTTGTGATCCATTTGTTATCAAATTTGGATTTTATTTGGGGGAAAGAAAGCAGCAAGTAAATGCGGTTCTAGAGAGTTCCTCATAGTGATCATCTGCAACGTAAATGTTGCAGTTGCTATTTAGATATCATTAGCTGTGAGTTTTTACATAGAACAATGGGGGTTTGGTGCAGGGTGGGTGGTGGGGAAAAAAGGCAAGTGACAAATAGGGGCTATCTTGTTCAGGCTGTTTCCCCCAAATTTAGCAGCTGGCAAGGAATTTTAAATAATCTCTTTGCTTTAAATATTCTTGCCTAGTAACAACTTAATTAAATCTTAGGACTGGTAATGCTCCCAATTTAGTTTCTTAATAGGCAAGTGAAGTGTTCATTTTTTTCTTTGTCAGTAGATGAATGTCTTGTAACATTGATAAAAGAGGAGGTAGTTCTTAGTTGGGGAGAAAATATATTTTATTAACTACTTATTTTTCTCTTGTAAAAATGAATGTTGTCTCAGTTGCCTTTAACAGGATAGGAAATTGTTTACAAGATAATTCCAAAGCTTATTATATAATCTTTGGATTTTATTAGAAACAAAGTAGCTTTATTTGAACATCACTGTTAGGTTGGATAGCTGCTATTTAATGTATAAAATAATTACTTTTTAAAAAAATTAGGTAGGAGGATATGTTAAGAACTACATTAGCGCTAAAAAAAAAAATGAAACCATTCATAAAGATGAAGTTCCCTGGTGGTGGGGTGGGGGGGTGACCATATTTATAAATACTTTAGTATTCTGGATGTTGGAAAAGGAAGTGTATGTTTATTCAACATTTTTCTTAGAATTACTGAAATATCTTTCTAAAATAGTTTAAAATGGACTCCAAGAGAAAGCTAGTTCTAATGAATTTGGAATGTGTATTTTCAGTGCTTTTATGCAACAGTAAAACAGTACAGATATTGGCAAAAGGTAGGGATTTGAAAACTTGATACTCTGGGTGCCACATATATTTAAAAGTACTTTTTAGCAGAATGGATAGTCTGGTGACATTTGAGAAATCAGTGTCTGGAGATACCTGCTGACATGTCTAATTAGATTTATCATTGAAGTTTTACTCTGTAATGACATATATTTTAAAAATTGTCATTGTTAACTTGCGATACAATATTTTTCAAAAGACTTAAACCATCTCCACATCCCCTAATATTATGTAATTTTGGACATATTCATAAAATCCCCAATCCCCCATGAGATTAGACATTGTGGTAGATTTGACCAACCTGTCATGTTATATAAAATTCTAATGCCTTTAAATTATTTTTAATCAGTGTGAGAGAAGCCAGTTCTATTTTCATAAGTTACCAATTTAGGCTAGTAAAATATGCAAATTCGTTTTAATTTTGATTTTGTGTTTTATTAAAAAACTGTAATACTGTGTATTGGTAGGAGGTACTTTTAAGCACATTTTATATCTCTGGTCAGGTTTTAATTTAGGCTGTTAAGAATAATTCAAGAATTATACAATTTAAAAATAGGTGAAGATATAGTGTATAAACATTTCTTAGTCATTGGTGACAGCTGAGAAGTAACATTGTATTTTGGAAAAAAAGAGCTTTTTATTTGTAATCCTTTGGGTTTGTTTTCCAGCAACCTTTAATGATTCTGTTTATATGATGAACTTTTTTTTTAAATGGATCAAATGTCAAGAGAGTTTTAGAATTACTTAAAACAGTTTTTGTTTTCCAGAGGGAAACAGAGGGATTTTTTGGTTTGGCTTCTTTTTTATAACCTCACTCTGGTAAAATACCACATAGTATTTATGAGGTTCTTTTGATCTTATGTCAGTGAAATGTAATTTAATGCATTTTTGTCCTTCTAAAATAAAATTTGTGATTGTTTAATCTTTTATAATAAGATGATGATCAAATAATTTGTTTCTAGTATTGATTTACTTTCAAATTAAATTATATATTTTGCAACCAAAATTTTAGAGAACTCAAACAGTAGCACCTTAAAAGGAAACATTGAGATTTACAGTAAAATGAAATAACATAGATGAGCTTTGTTTAGACATATTTTACTACTAAAATGCATGTATATAAATGTTGTATCCTTTCAGTTGTCCAGTGAGCACAGAACATGAATAATTGGCAAAAGAATTTAGACCAGGGGAGTTAGCTTCTTAAATTATTAAGTTTTAGAAAATAAAAAAGCTTGAAAGATCATTTGTTTGAATGAATTAGTATACTACCCTGCTAGTATACGCTTATAATGAAATCAGTATTTTAAGGAATGTAAGAAAAGAGGAAACACTGTATTTGAGGCATGATTACATGCAGGGAATAAGGGCCTTTTATAATTGTGTTAATTTCAGATTATAATAGAGTTTAAATGTACAGTACATTTTGGGATTAATTTGTTCTCACTTGTGTCACCATAAATGAAATGAAGAGTGTCCTTTGTGTTCAGAAAAACACCGAAAGGGTCTCAGTGGGAAGCAACGGGGATCATTTTCTTTCTGAGTCACTTGTATCTCTTCTTTGCAGAATTTAGGCAGTCAAACTCATTTTGTTTGAAAGAATGGAAAAGTGTAAGAAGGCAGAAAACAATTTGTGTTTTTAAATTCTATATTGTCAGTACAGGCACTGGACATTTGTAGAATTTGAATATCAATTTGGGATAAGACTTTTTTCTCAAAAAAAAAAACAAAAGGAATTTTCTTGAATAGGGTTTTTAATCTGTTATAATTTATGTTCAAAAGAACAGATAATGTATAATTAAAACTCTGTGTGTGTTAAATATACAGAAAACTTTCTTTGGGGCTCATTTGTGGAAAACCCAGAGATTAGTAGGCAGTGATAATGATAATAATAGCTAAATTATCGATAATTAAGTACTAGGTCCCGGACAAAGCACTTTATGTTTATCATCTGTTTAATCTTCACAAGAACTATATCAAGTTGATTCTATTATTTTTCAGTTTTATACGTGAGGACACTGAGGCTTAGGAAGGTTAAGCAAATTTGCTGAAGGGTACACGACTAATTAAATGTCAGCTAGGATTAGAAGATTAGGTGCAGGCTTTTTATTCCAGAGCCCATGCTCTTAACCATTATTCTTTGTATAATTAATATATTAAATAAGTATAAACATAGATGTGGAGTTTGGTTTCTAGTGGATCACTCAGGAATCATGAATGCCTTATCATAGAACTATTCTTTTCAATAAACTGGTGTACTTTTTGGATACATTTCTGAAGGGCCTTAGGTTTTTCAAGTGCATGCTATGAAAGTGTGTATGTATATTTATGGGTGTGTCTGTATGTGTATACACACATACTTGTGTGTCTGCAGATGTATACACATATGTGTGTATAGGACCAAACTCTAATGAGAGGCATTAGGATATGAAAGCTCTTCATCTAATGGAAAGAGCTCTAAATGAAGGATCTTGGAGACCTGAGTTTGAGTTCAGACTCTGCCTCTGATTAGCAGTATAACCTTGGGCAAGTCATTTGCCCGTACAGACCTTGGTTTCTTTATTTGTAAGGGTAGGGGGTTTTAGTAGATAATTTTTAGGGTCTTTTCTAGTGTTATGATTTGAGGAAGTAAAAATTACGAACATAAAATGTAGTACTTTCGCTAGATTAGGCAAACAACCGCTGAAGCAAAAATTTTACTAGACAATGGTATATTTCCATATTTTTTAGTCTCATGCTTTAACATCGAGTCTCATCCACTGCCAAAAAGAAGTTTGGTAGCTCCCAAAGAACCGTCAGCTACTTAACCCAACATGTCTTACGCTACCTTAGCATTCTTCCATATTTATCTCTTAAGATGTTGGGGTTTTATGGGCTAGTGCCTGCTCTCACTCCCATGAACCATTCATTCATTTGCTGACAAGGGACTCCTCTGATTCAGTCTGCATTGGAGCTTTAATTCAGTTTTAATTCTTTATGATTAGAACTTGGTTAGAATCTTTTATTTCCCCAAAGGAATCTAACAGGAACAAGTCTGCATCCCATCACCTTTTTCCCCTCTGAATATTGCTGAACCTTATATCTACGTTTATTTTGATTTAAGTATTTCTTTAGATGTCAGAAAAGCCAAATACAACATGTGATAAGTTATTTTCTATCACTGGAAATTTCGTATGTGCAATAAGGAATATTCCTTATAACCTTCTAAAAATGTGACAGAAAGGAACAAGCAGAATATAATTGGCCCTCTGTATCTTCAGATTCTGTACCCACAGATCCAAACAACTGCAGATCGAAAATATTTGGAGGAAAAGAAAGTATGGTTGCATCTGTATAGAACTTGTACAGACTTTTTTCTTATCACTTTTCCCTAAAAAATACAGTAGAACAACTGTTTACATTGTATTAGGTTATTATAAATAATGTAGAGATGATTTAAAGTATACCGGAGGATGTCCATAGATTATTTGTAAATGCTACCACATATTATATAAGAGACTTGAGCATCTGAGGATTTCAGCGTGGGGGGGTCCTGGAACCAGTCCCCCTGTGGATACCAAGGGACAACTGTATATACTGTGCATTTCTTATCTACTTGCTATTGAATTTAT